GGGGTGCAGGTGTTCTTTGGAATTGATGTTTCTGTGTCCTTTGGGTAAATACCTAGGAGTGGAATTGCTGGATCATATGGAAGCTCTATGTTTAGTAGGTCCAGAAATCTCCACACAGCTCTCCACAGTGGTTGGACCAGTTTGCACTCCCACCAACAGTGCAGAAGAGTTCCTTTTTCTCCACACCCTCGCCAGCATTTGTTGTTGCTAGTTTTTTTAATATGTGCCATTCTCACTGGTGTAAGATGGTATCTCATGGTAGTTTTGATTTGCATTTCCCTGATGGCAAGTGATGTTGAACATTTTTTCATATGCCTGTTGGCCATTTGCATTTCCTCTTCAGAGAAGTTTCTTTTTAGCTCTTCTGCCCATTTTTTGACTGGATTATTTTCTTTGTTGTTGCTGAGTCTCATCAGCTCTTTGCAGATTTTTGTGATCAGTCCTTTATCATTAGTGTTGGGTGCAAAAATGTTCTCCCAGTTGGTGGGGTTTCTCTTTGTTTTTGTTATTGTCTCTTTTGCTGTGCAGAAGCTCTTTAATTTGATGTAGTCCCAGGTGTTTATCTTTGCCTTCACTATCACTGCTTTGGGTGATGTGTCTGTAAAGATGTCTTTGATGTGCAGATCACGTAGTGTTTCGCCTATATTTCCTTCTATATATTTTATGGTTTCAGGTCTTATGTCTAGTTCTTTAATCCATTTTGAGTTGATTTTTGTGTATGGTGTGAGGTAGTGGTCATGACTTGACCTTTCTTAACCTTTTAAGAAAACCTCATTCATTGACAATAATCTACCCCCCTTCATTCATCTCTTGGCACAGTTACTCAGAATCTCCTACCACTACAGTACCCCCTCTGAATATGTTCCTATATCATAAATTCAACAAACATCCATCAAACACATAATATATGGGAAATATATACAAACCAAGATGTTGAAGAACATGGAATCTGTTCCACCTGTGCTGTGGCTGTGGACAGTGCTGTTGACCTAAAACAAAAGCAATCAATTATTCCCATCAACAAAATGGGTTTATTTGAAAACAAATACCTGAAGAGAGGGCAGATTAGTGAGTGTGTCCATGGCAAGACCCATGGTGCACTTCCCCACATCCTTTAAATAACTAAAGTTCTTTACGGCTTACAACCTCATTAAGAACCTTCAGAGGCCCACCCCATCAGTTCCATAGGAGGGAAAAACAGCATCACTTCCCAGGGGAAATTCCAGGCATGTTGGGTCCAGTAGTTTGCTGATTTGATCTGCATGGACACTCTTTTTCTACCTCCTGATCTCATTTAAATGGGGCTTCTGTATGTTTTCTTTTTTTATATAATTTACTTATTTATTATTTTAATTGAGATAACATTAGCAACATCCCATTGGGTATCACCATTATAAGACACACCATCAGATTACCCATAGTCCACCACCATAGTCCATCATGCATCTAAATGTTCACAATGCTTTACTTGTTCCATTCACAGCCACACACGGTATACACCTCATCTCTTCAGCTCATAGTTACTGAGATATAGGAACAGCCAAAATGGCACCATGAGCTTCCTAGAAGTGTCTTATATCAACAAATTCCCTTACCTCTCACCTACCACCTCAAGCTTGCTCCTCATGGGATTTTTTTTTAAAGATTTATTTCTTTATACAAGAGCCGGGGTACAGGCCAGATGTGCGGGAGGGTGAGAGGATTCACCAGAGACAGAGCGGGGAACAGAACAGACAGACTGACGAAATGCACTGCAGAGGGGAGCAGCGGGCGAGACAGGAGAGGTCTGCTTCACCATGTGGGATTCTCGCCGCTGGCTAGGATCGAACCCACGCTGCAGAGGCTGCGGACAGCTTCACAGTGCGGTGCTTAACTGCCTGCTCCACCAGGGAGGCCCTCCTCATAGCATTTTTAACCCAAAGAATCCTTCTTAGTATAGGAGCAGCTAAATCTCCCATCCCCTAACTAGCCTGTGAATCCCAAAGTTGCAACAAATGCCAAGTATCATCCTCTCATCTCTACCCTCAATATCACTTCGCTACCATTATGTGGATAGTGATCAGACATCAGTTTCTCCAGAAAGTATTTACAAAATACTTTATATTTATAAATGAAATAAAAATATAATCAGCAACATATGATTTATTAGAGGAATATTTACACTTTTGACGTTGGCTGGTTCCCCAGTCACCACTTCTTTGAAAAGAAATGTTTACTGCTTTCCATCTTTACGTGTAAGAGTTTAAGACCACATCTACTGTTATTTTGGTTCCAATTCATAGCTCAGTGGTGTAAACAGCTAGATCAATGGTCATATAGTCTAAAGTGGCAGTAGCTGTTATACCCAAGTCTCCTCTAAATCAAAAATTTCAGAGCCTGTCCAGAGGGTGTCAAATGGAGTTGGGTTGGTCCAGACTTCATATTCACAAATACTTACAAATTCAGACATTAAATGTTAGCTCCAATAGTGTTTTATATAAAGTAAAAGAGAGACCTCATTAGAATTAAAAGAGAAAATGTTCACTATAATTCTAAAATTGTGTTTTGCTTTTGTAACATTGTTTATGCATTTGATTTTTCATTATACTGAAAACCTCAGTGAAAGTTGCCCAAGCCTCTTAAACTCTTAAAGCCTTGACAAACCTTTTCATTTTTTTTTTACATGTCATCTCTAAAAGCTTTGCTTACTTGCTGTCACTTTTCTATCTGGAAATAAAATCGGCTAGATTTTCCTTGCTATACACTCTAGTTATATATATAGCTTGTCCAGCTCACCTCTCAAAAAAAAAAAAAAAAAAAAAACCACAACACATTTTTCACTGACCTATCAGGCCATGAACCCTAATAAGCACCTGAGCCCCCATGTGCCCCTGCCTGACAGGGTCTTCAGCTCGCCAGCAGGAGGTCCCAACGCTTTTCTCGCTAGAAAACCAGCCGGTGTCATGTGATTCTGCCCTGATCAATTATATCCTACAAGCAATGATGGCAGTGGATTCAAATAGCAAACGGAGCTTTCTGATTATTTAAAATCATTCTATCTCTTGGCCTCAATTCCTTCATCCATAAAATGAAGGAACTAACACTCTGTAATGAAAATTAATGGAGATCATCAAGGGCCTTCCAGGGCTGCAGATACACTACAGCATGTGTCAGAGAAAAGGAGACTCTGACTTAAATATCTTCCCTGGTCCTTAACCAAGCATAACAGCTCCCCTCTGAAGGAGGAGCTGAGGTTTCCATTTGCAGCTGGAATTACAGACCCTCTTTTTTTTTTAAAAAAAAAAGGAAAAATATTGATGTAGCATTGCATTATAACATATAGGTTTCAGATGTACATCAGTATTTGTGTATAATACATTATGTTTGCTGAAAGTCTAAATGCATCCTTTACCCAATTTAGCTGCCCCTCCCTCCCCCTTCCCTTCTAGTAACCAGTAATTTGGTCTTGTAGTGTACAAGTTTTTGTTATTTAGTTCATTCATTTGTCTTGTTTGTTTGTGTACCTCATATGAGTGAAATCATAAGGTGTTTGCCTTCCTCTGACTGACTTATTTAATTAAGCATAATACCCTTTATGTCAATCCATGCTACAAAATAGAAATTCCAGTTATCCCACTTCTGGGTAGTTTCTGAAGAGTACAAAAACAACAATTCAAAGAGATACATGCACCCTAGGTTCATCACAGCATCATTCCAATAGCCTAGGGTTGAAAATAGCCTAAATGCCCACTGACAGATGATTAGCTAAAGGAGATGTGGCGTGTACATATACACAATGGAAAACTACTCAGCTATAAAAAAAAAAAAAAAAAGGATGAAATTCTGCTGTTTACAGCCACCTTTAAGCATTTTTCATGTTACTCTCCTCCTATCACCACTAGGCTGTGTTCATGAGCACCTCTGTTTTGTCACTATTTGGGAGGTGAATGATTTAAGCCCAGTATTAACCAGAGAGCTGATGCCCATGGGCTGCATCCTACCGTTCCCAACAGGTTCAGGACATGGCAGGAATGACAGAGGGGTGCTGTCCCGCCGTGGATGGCTCCACAGAGCCAACGCCAAGACCTTCTGCATCCTGAGCATCTGGGGACACTGCCGATCCTCATAAGCCAGCCAATGCTAACCTCTTTCCATTTTCTCCCCTTCCCTATTTATTATAGCTTCACAGAAAGTTGATGAGGTGAAATATTCTCCAGCAGAGGAAATAATATAAAGCTTAAAAGTTGTTTCTGGTGGAATGGTGAAATAATTCTACCACTTTACTTTGAGCAAAAAAAAAAAAGAAGAAGAAGAAGAAGAAGACCACCTGAGGCAGCCTCTGGGGATTTCATTATTGATAGATTGAGGGAAACATAATGGCTTTAGATGAACAGGTTTTTCTTTTAACTTGTTAGAGCACTTTGGGATGAAAAGATGAGAAAGACAGGTGCTAGACAATAGAATAAACCTGGCACCCACTTATTTACATAATTTTGTATAGATGCATTGATGTATGAAGTATTAAGTGACTGTGTTGAATAGTGAAAATAAAGTACTTTGGAAAACAATCTGTGTTCAATACCCAGCTCTAAAATAACTGAACAATTTATGAAATACCTCTTGCTTCTTTGTGAAAATTATTGGTGGTTTAAGCTGAGTGTGCAGTTTTAAGAAAACAATCTTCTGTGCTATTGTTTAAGATAATTCTTAAGAATGCATTCTCTAAGCAGATGAGACATTAAGTGGGGGCAGGGAGGAGAAGAGTTACATTTACTCCTCTCTGTGAGTTTGGCTAATCCATTCACCATTTTTTCATGAGTAAAGCTTTTGGGAGAACTGAAAAAATGTATTGAGCAAAGATTATAAGCAGCAATTTTTGCAGGCCAAATTGCCTCCAAATGAGGGAGGAGGGGATTTAAAGGTGAACATAACTGTCTCTTCTGCTGCATGCAAAGCTTTGTGCTTGTGAGAAACTCAATCTTAACTCCCTTTTGGCAAGTATTCCTTAACAGGCCTTGCAGATATCTGAAACCTATTTTAACCCATTCCGGCCCTCCGCTGACCACAACATTACCCGAATGGTGTGGACCAATTTCTAGGCTGCTCACCAGTCCTCAGGCCTATGGGGTGAGTAAATATCCCGTATGGGACAGGCTGGGTGAATACTGATGAGACAGGAATCTTGGCTAGTTACTTCCCAGCTAGAGAAGGAAGGATTTTTAAAATTCACTGCCAAAAAGCATTTCTCTTCTCCCTTCAGTTGTTGCTGATGTTGGCTCGTTCGTCTTTTTAAAATGCAATTTGTTATTGTTATCAATATTTTTAACCATAAAATGAATTTAGAAAATGTAAAAGAATTCATGTATCCTTCCAAACTGCCGTGTTTTGAGGTTTGGAATATTAGGCCTGTCCTTTACCACTCAAGGAAGTGGAATAAAAATTGCTGAGAAGTAGTCAGAGTCATTACCAGAAGACCACCATGTCAGGGATTGGAAAAGAGCACAACCTTGGAGTTTGAGGCACCCTTTCAGGTGGTCCAGCTGGCTACACCTTTACACCCACAGGGGAAAAAAAAAAAAAAGAAACAGTACAGCAGCCTAAGGTGGTGGCTCTGAAATCATGGCCCCTATCTAGATCAGCAGCTTCAGCATCACTGAACTTGAACTTGCTGGAAATACAAACTACCAGGTCCTTTTCAGACACGCTGAACTTGGAGCCAACATATGTTCTTTAAAAAGATCCTCAAGTGGGGCCTCCCCTGGTGGTGCAGGCAGTTGAGCGCAGCGCTGTGAAGCTGTCTGCAGCCTCTGCAGCACAGGTTCAATCCCGGCCAGCGGCAAGAGTCCCACATGGCACAGCAGACCTCTCCTGTCTCGCCCGCTGCTCCCCTCAACAGTGTACTTCATCAGTCTGACTGTTCTGTTCCCCACTCTGTCTCTGGTGAATCCTCTCACCCTCCCGTGCATCTGGTCTGTACCCCGGTTCTTGTACAAATAAATAAATAAATAAATCTTTAAAAGAAAAAAAAAGATCCTCAAGTGATTCTGGTACAGGCTGAAAGTTGGAAACCACTAACCTAAGGTCACCTAACTAGTGCTCACTTTACGAGTAATTTTATATGGCCTTCTCACAGCCACTGGAAGAAGAGTTGCAATCTTAATTGTTTCCTTTAAGGGAAACTCTGTCTGAGGAAAACTATATTGGCCAAGTCTAGTTCGTTTCTGCCATTGTCCACATGTTGACCTGCAACCACTTTTAGTCTTCTGACGCTCATCCCAAGAAACAGGTTGTGAGTACACACCTTCCAAAGAAAATATCACAGAAATTGTGTCTTGAGGATTTTGTGATTCCCAAATTTGTGAAAGAATTTTGTGATGGCAAAAGTGTTATGAAACCAACATTGAGAATCTTTCCATTCCCTAAGGTCACAGGACTCTGCTAACTGCTCTCAACCCAACTACAAAAATTCACTGAGTTTTATTTTAGCTCCTTTAATCCAAGAAGGCAGTCACTTAGCTCATGTTTTATGCTCACGCTTACTTTAGCCCTAGAGATCCTTCATGGCTATCCTATGGTGTCAAGACTTCAATGTCAATGCAGGGAAATGCATTACCACACCCATAGAGATGGAAAAGCTGGCTTCTGCTGTAGTGGGAGCTTCAGCCAAAGCAATATAGGGTAGTTAAGAAAAGGAAAGTGAACACCGTATTTTCTTATACTGTGGGACTATTAGTTCTTGCCTTCCTCATGAAGTAACATCTCTCGCTTTTTCCAAAATCCAGGAACAGGTGAAAGAGGATGATGTGGAATGCATAGTGAATCAGGATGAACTGGCCATGAACTACCAGGAGCAGGCGACCTCACCCCACAGCCCTCCTGCAAGCCTAGATCTTGACCAGAAAACTTCACCACATAGTCCAAGCAAGGAAAACATTTTTGAGGGGGATCTGGGCCTTGGAGGCTATGAACTCAAGCTTGAGCAAACGCTGGGTCAATCCCAGCTGAATTAATGGGCATGAACAGTGCAGATGTAATCACAAGTGACATAAGGCTCACCAAGGAATACAAGACAGGCTGATGAGGCAGTGTAGAGGAGGCTGGAAAGTATATTAAGAGCATAAATTGGAGAGAATCAAAACCTTGTCACATGTATCCTCTGGTGCCTGAAGAAATGAAAATTTATTATCATCTCTGTATTATGCAACTGAATTGGAGTTTTTGACAGCAGTCATTTTTATTAATGAATTGGGTGGAGTGGAGTGGCGATGGTGGAGGGGGAGGGAGTCAGCAGTCCAGCTGCTGTGAGGGTGAAACAGATGTGCTGATGTCTGCAGTCTTTCTTCTCTGTACCTGGCTATCCAGCCCTTCACTACGATTTTGGATTTCATTCCCTCCATTAGGGAGCACTAAAAAAGAAAAAGAGTCTCTGAGTGTAAACATGTTGCTCCTAAATGAAAGGAATGCCCAGTTATTTAGTGATAAATTTTACATTTTCAGGACCCAGATTCCCACTTCCCGTAATGATCCCAGGACTGGTTGCAGATAAGTGCTGGATACTGGTATGAATGGCATCTGCGGTCCCACTGGGGTCCCACTGTCATTCTTGGCATCCTTTTCAAGTTGCTCTCCTGTGGTCTGAAGGGACTGGTTACAGCTGGACGTGCCCTGCACAAAATGCCAATACCTTTCCTAACTTGGTAGGACCACTTCCAAGGAAAGCTGTTTTTTTCCCTCCATACTACGTTTTACCTGAAGAATGAATCTCCCTGTCCTTGCTTGCATTTGGGTCTCTTCTTGCCTGTGTGACGAGTCCCCTCTGGACTGTGAGTAATGAGATTCCACAGCACAAGTTGCTCTCCACATGGCAGGAGATGGTGCAGAAACACCGACCTGTCTTCCAATTCCAGCTATCCCGGCTGACTAACAGCTCAGGAATAGGAACAGAGGAGCAGAGCTGCCATTCAATGCATACATCACACAGGTGTCCAGGACGCAGCTTCTGGACTCCCCCATATAACGCATGGCATCGTGGCCAGCACCGGTAAGACCAATACAATTGCTTTTAATTCAGTGCATGGCTGTGCCTTTGAAGCCTTAAAAATACCTCAAGCTAGCTTCTCTTTGAAATACAGATGTTAATATTAGACTCCAAAGAGCAGACTCCAGTCTCAGGTGCCCAGGCTACAATGAGTCTGCTTCTGAAGAAGGGAGGAAAGATGTCTTCCTCAAGCTGAAAGCTTGGAAGTAACATCTGCTTTGCTGACCAGTTATTTGGCCTTAAATATTAACCATTAACACTGCCACGCACACGCATTTTCTTCCTTTCCAAATAGTAGAATCCAGGGCACAAAATGTTTTATACTCAGCTAAGTATAATCTGGTCATTCCTGGTCAATATGGCAAATGGTGAAGCATGGAATTCTCTAATTTGACTTAATCATAATAAAATTTTGTTATAAAGTATGACTGTGTTGCACTATGCTCTATTTAAGGAATCCCCTCTGTCTGTGCTAATTGGCAGTTCTAAACCCTGTACTCAAAATGCCAGGAAAAGCAGACACTGAAAGCTCATGTAAGTGAGATGCAAGGGCCCTGTGGCCCAGAAACGGGAATAGGGCTGCATAGCAAGTCACTGAGGAATGAAGAGTGGCACTGAGCTGGGAAGATGAGCTTGACACAGACGGGAAAGTTAAGTCAAGAAGAATGACCTCTTCCTTTCACATGAGAGATGACCAGAAATCATAAAGAATTTAAAAATAGGGGCAAAAGATACCCGAGAAAAAAGTAAAGAAAGGCAGAATATAAGGATTCATCTTATTTCTGCCCTTATCATGAAAGGAAAAGTTGAGAGCTTGGTGTTTTCTTTCTTTCCTTTTGTGCAGAGAAAGACACATCAGGGAAAAAGAAGATCCCCCCCCAAAACAGACGAGCATTAGTGGGGGGCAGGAGGAGAGAGAAGATAGAGAAATGTAATATACAAGATTGAAATGAGGCAAGTAAAGAAGGAAAGGCACAGAATCTAAACAAGCAGCCAATCACTAAGAGGACATAGCAAAAATAGCCTCCTTCTCCCCAGGCAAAGCCTTTCTCTTGCTTAAAAAAAGGTCCCTCCAGTTGGATATTATGGACCATTACTTGCAAGGAGAATGGAGGACTGTTTAATCTGGACTGGCCACCACCCAGTTTACTCTACATAGGGACTGTAGTGTGAGAAAACTGTGCTCCCTTCAACCTGTAAATAGTGCCCACCTTCCAGCTGTGATTACCAGCCTCCTCCCCTCTGAACCATCCAAGACCCAGAGACTAGGTCCCACTTAGCAATTCAGAAACTAAATTCCCTTTATGTTCCTGTTGTGAAGGATAGTAATTTATGATCTTAAGAAATGCTCTGTGCTCTGAATAGAAGCATCGGGACTGTGAAATTCAAACCTATTATTTACTGCTAGTGTCTAATGATTAATAAAGGCAAAGGGCTTTTATTTTCTTCAAACCACTAATGCTTCCACTTATTATTATAGCTTGAAATAGGACTCTTATTAATTAATTGACATGGTTCTTTCTTGAACTTCTTACCATGTGGACATTACATATATAGTCGTGAGTGTGCACACATGTGCACACATGCATGCAGATCCAGTCATGATCAGGATTCCAGCTAAAGCTTCTACAGTGTCCCCTGGTTCTTGGTGTATGATGTCTGAGTAGGTTTAAAACCTGGTGGAAAGAGCTATTAGAGTCTTCATACTAGAAATTTCTAGAAATTTAGTGGAGGGCAACATCTATATAAATCAAAGCTGAAGTTGTAAATAACTTTTCCGCTACCAATTTCATATGCATAACTTTTATTCTAGATAATTTGGAATATGATAATATTGAAGGTATTTGGTAAAACAACTGTTTATTTAACAGTTTGGTTAAATGAAACCTGGCACAGCTGTCTCATGAAACAGCATCACAAATACTGGTATGGAATGATCGCCAAGCTATATTATTAAATAAAAATGGAAATGGACAGCACATAATGGATGATGTGCTGCACTCTGGAAAGTTAAAGAAGAAACTGATAGTATGACTGCCTCTTAAAAAATGGAGTAAAATTACTTCTTACTTTTGTATCTTTGGGGTTCCATATGTTATGTGCATTATTTATTCAAAAACAAATGATAAGATTGCCTTGAAAAATGTATTGCAAGTACTGAGCTACAATAGGAAATGGAGTAAAAACTAGAAAAGTTGTTACTTTTCACCATGATTTTTGAGACTTTGAAAATACAAAGCACCAATAGGACTGATGCTTTTGAGCTTATTCATATGCATCACTCAGTACACATGAACGTCAAATTGAAAGACCTATATGACTCATTCTCATCCATCAAATATCTGCTAGGAGAAGACAATTAAAAAATTGATTTTTTTTATGAGATAACAATGCATGTGATAAAGCTATCATATCTAAAACAGTGTGATACTGACCAAGAAGTAAGCAGAGATCAAGAAGATCTACAAAGTACAGAATCAGATACATGAACATGTTTAAAAATTTAGTTCATAAAAAAAAATGAATGTCAATTTGAATATAATGGTGAATGGATTATTATTCAATAAACAGTGTGAGTGTGAACAAATTTACTTCCAAATCTGGAAAAGAAAAAAATAGGTAATCCTCTAATATATGCAAAATTAAGTTTCAAGTATTTAAAGAGCTAAATGTAAAAAATAAAACTATCAGACAACAAAAAATAAAGTAAAAATGATAATGACCTTGCCATAGAGGCAGTCTTCCTGAAGAAGACACAAGTCAAAAATGAAAACTGATAATGTTGACTACCTAAAATATGAAATTTATTATAACAAAAAACATAACAAGCAAAATTTAATAATATGAACCTGGAAGAAAAGGATACCTACTTTCTGTGTGTATCTATGTGTGTTTCAGACTAGGGATTATTCAAAATATACAAAGAACTCTTACCAATGCATGAGAAAAGAAAAAAAACCTACCAAATACAAAAATGTATACAGAAGTAGAATCAAATGAATATACCTCCTACCCAACCTTCTATTTTTAGGCATCTCTAAAGAAAAGAAACATGTGGTGTTTACACATAAGGAGGCATATCAAATGTAATCCATTGTGGAACTGTTAATGCAAAATATTGGAGAAAATAACCATTAATAGCAGAAGGGTTAAGTAGACTACAACACTTCCATACTAGGGGATACTCTGAAATAATTTACTGTCATAGGGGCCATCGTTACAACCAAAGCAAAGATGGGTTGATAAACATACACTCACATAAGATATTTTCAATATAAATTTTCATGGAAAAAATAGTCTGGAATGATCCACAGCAATGTGATAACAAAAAGGGGAGTGGGATTAGGAGGGCTAGGCCAAGACAGTCTTTTGGTTGAATTCACATTATTTTTAATTTTTGCAATGATATCATATTCATGTGTGGTTGATTCTGAGGGAGGCCAAGGCTTCAAAATGAGGGAAAAAGTTCTGCAGGATGAAGTTTCATTTGAGTGAGAACTTGAAAGATGGAAGGGTTTGACCAAGCAGGCACATTGACAATGGCTTATGGGCAGGAGGTAGAGCAGACCACTGGAACAGAGGAAAGGCATTCTAATAGAAGGAAACAACATGGGCAGAGACAAAGACATTATTTATGACCTTGAGGGAGGGGACATGGAAGAACAAGAGATACAGAGTTACAGATCTAACTGAGGTATCATGGCCATGATCCTATGAAAATGGAGCTGTGGAAATATGTTGTCTTAACAAAGATAATTACATGGATGGTGGACAGGAGGAAGTGCATGGCCCAGGAGATAAACATTGAGAGGCTTGACTGAGGCAGAATCAGGGGGGATGAAGAGAACTGGCTCTATCCAGATATGTTCAGAGCTGAAATCTACAAAGTTGGTACTGATTGGATATGGAAGGTGAGGAGGATGAACAAGCCCAGAATGACCCCGTGTCTAAGACTGAGATGACAATAGGCTGATAGTTCCCTCCACCGAAGGTATTGGGAGAGACTTTGAAGAAAGTCAGTGACCTCAGTTTTGGATGTGTTGAGTGTGAAGTTACTATGGAGAAGCACCTGAAGACATACAGATGTCGTTAATATGGGTCTGTAGTTAGACGAAAGGTCTAAGCTAGAGGTGCAAATTTAGAGGGATAAGATGTGCACTACAGCTCCACTGAGGTTTTTCAAATGCCACATCACCCTTCTTACCTCTTTCTTACAAAGAGATTTTGATATGCCTTCCCCACAATAAGGGCAATGCTTTGCAAGGAACAGCATCATTTCTTTCAAAGGCACCACAGATGATTCTCATTCAAACCCTGAAAGAACCACTGACAGTTATATGGAGGGAATAGGACAGAGAACTGAGAGGTGCTAATTCAGTGGACAGACAAATGGTATACCTGCGAAACCATGCCTAGAAAATCCCTTACAGAGAATTTTAGAAGACCTGATATCCCCATGGGACAGGAGTTCAGCTACAGGGACACCCTGAGCTCTTCTGTTACTGTTGCTCAACAGGCTCTCCTCTCCTCAGCTGTGATGCTCACTTTCACTTTTGTCCGCTTGGCTAGGCTATGATCTCCAGGTACTCAACTAAGCATTAATCTAAGTGTGGTTGTCAATGTGTGTTCACATTTTGTAGCCATAATTTTGTAATTCTGACTAACATTCAGAAATAGTGGATTTTAAACAAAGGAGACTGTGCTAGCTGCTCTGGGTGGGCCTGACACAATCCATTGAAAAGCCTTGAGCAGAACTGAAGCTTCTAGGGAGGAGAAATTCTGCCTGTGAACAATAGTTTTAGCTCAAGCCAGAGAGTTCTGTGTGACCCATTCTTCTGGGACTGCCCTGAGCTGGGATTTTTCTTTCCCCAACACTTACCTGATCTTCATGTCCGATGAGCTCTCTTTATGTCTCTGGCTCCTTCCTTATCTCCCTCCTCCCCCTCCCTTCCTCTCTTTCCATCTCTTTCTCCAGATTGGATCAGAAGGACAAGTCTGTAAAAGGAATATTCACACAAAATAAACAAAACAGATTCCTTAATCAATTCAAAAATGTTTGAAAGCAGCACTTCAGGGATTTGTTTCTAAAAAACACATCCATGCTCTATTCTGACTGACTCACCGCTTTGATCTACTCTCCTACCCCTTCTTCCATCTTTAGCACCGTTCAAGGATAACCGATGTTCATAGGATGGCCCTGAAGCAAAGCCTTGAAGTACTTGTGAGATCAGGAAAGAAATATTTAGTTGCTTTCATTATTTAGAGCAGCACAGCTGCGAGACTAGATGTGGGCGAGGTTGCAGGAAGTCGGGAGCTATGGAGAGTTCCATATGCTTCTCCAATATTGTCCATCATCCTGTCATTCAGTTTGACAAACTTTTATTAAGCCCTTACAGGTACTGCTGACAATCAAGGTTAGGAATCGCCAATGTCAGCATCATTAATGGGATAAATAAAGATGGGATTGAAGGACAAAGACAGAAAGTACTTTAATGTGGAGACACCTTGGCCCATCTCATCACCTCATCACATATATTGATTGGTCTTAGCTTAAGTGGGGTGGTGAGGGGCGCCCCAGCAGCCTGTAGGCCAAGGAGGGGGTGGACCCTCTGAACAGGAGCACTGCAATGGGCAGTTTCTTTGTTTATCAGCGGCTTCCTTCATGCTCCCCTGCCACCTGGGGACTGGCCAGTGGAGGGGGCTAGGGAAACACCTCAGCAAGGATCTAATGCGGGGGATCATGTTCAAATGTCCCCACTGTGTAACATGGCTAAAAGCCATGCCCTCACGCTGTGAAACTCATCAATCCCATGCCCAGCCTACGGGCAGCCCTCAGTGGTACAAAAGTATCAGGTGATCCTCCCTGAAACCCCGCTGTCCCCTGGCCCTCGGGCAGGCAGCAGCATTCAGGATATACTGATCAAACAGAACTGAACTGAATAAATCCTGACCGGCACAAGCTTGCTTGTACCTGGCACTGGTCTAAAGGGGGAAAAGGAAGAAAACAAAAGGAGCAAAAGGAAACATATATTACTTGACCCCGTCACATGGGCTTCCACATGTCTTGCTTCATCCTAACAACACCCTAGAGATGTCACATGAAGCAGGCCTGAGGCCTGACATGGAGATGCTGCCCTTGTCCCAAGATCACACAGCTGAGCAGCATCAGAGGGGAGTTTTGAACCCAGGTCAGTATTGCTCCCAAGACCATGATATTTTCCCTCCACTTTCCCAGGCTGCAGGCAAATTGACAAATCTGTCCAGATGCACTAGGAATCTTTGCTCGTCGCTGGAGACAGGAAACCAGACAGGTCACGTGTGCTCCATGAGGTTCCAGTGGTGAGACCACCCTGGAGAATGGCACACACAGGGTAGAGGGTGACCCAGAGTGGACTGGGAGACCCCAGATTTCCAGGCCCTTGTTAGTCAGGACTCATTGGTACTAAGAGGCAGAAATCTAGATCAATCTAGTTGAAGGGGAAAAAAAAATCTTTGTTCGCATAATTTAGAAGTCCAGGAGTAGCTAAATATGGGAGGAGGGGTGGAACAAGACCATCACATTGTTCTCCCTCTGCCCCTCCCTCTCCTCTATGCTTTTCTCTATTTTGGCCTCATTCTCAATGAGGCCCCACAGGGACTAAATAGCCCACCACAGATTTTGGCTTTCCATTATTCACTGGGTGAGTAAACCCCAAACCAAGAGAACATCTTTCTCTTAATTGTTTTAGAAAAATCCTAGGAATCACAGTGATTGGGCCAGTGTGTGTCACGAGTCCACCTCTGCATAGATAATATTC